TGAAAAATGGATTCCTATTTTCCAGAACTAATTTGATATTTTAACTTTTCATTGCCATTCATGGATGATATTTTCAAAATCTCAGCAATGCTGATGGGACGAGATCCTCAACTTTCTGCCCAAGCTTAACATAACTTCATTTACCAGCAAAAATCACACACACACAAGAAGTGAAGATGAAGGACACCACCTGTCCAAGAAGAGGGTCTCCACACACTTCACTAGACAGATTTTCCCACTAGTATGTGACATCTTCTGTTCCAGCCCTCATGACCTGTCTAACAGAGGAGGTTCAGTGCCCAGTTTCCCCAGCATCCTCCACGGTTCTAGGCAAAGCTGTTTACCCTATTTTACACCAGCTAGGATGCACATGTGGCAGCTGGGATTTTTGCAATTCCTTTAATTCAGTCTTTATAGTCTCTGACATGATTCATGCACTAGGGCTACAGGGAAAAATACAGAAATTATCTGGGGACTGTGCCATCTTGGAGAGTTACAAAAAAACCCCCATAGCTCCTTCTGCAGTTGGAGAGCAGAGGAAAGAGAGCAGAAAAAGTGTGACTAACTGTTCTTGAATATACAGAAGACGTGAACCAGAAAAGGAGCTGTCTTACTGTGGCCTGGGGAGTTCATAGATCTGTGATTCACTGCATTACAAGGCCCATTTGGCATGCAAAAAGAGAGGATGATGATGAAAGGAATAGTTAGTCATGGAGAAAAAGCTAGATGGAACACACAAAGATGCTAACCCCTGGGAAAGGCAGCATATTCAGGTGTGACCCACAGCCTGGGAAAGGGAATAAGGTCTTTTTTTCTTTTATTTTCCTAAAATTCCTTCTTATTTCAGTAGGTAGAGTCCTTGAAGGAATGTCCTCCATCTCAGCCTTACAAAAGCACCATGAACTCCAGTGCACTACCTCAACCCAAGAGGATGGCACAATGTTCTTCAAGCTCTAGCTGAAACCAGCCAGCCATATTTTCTCATGACCATATTTGTTCTTCTTTCACTTCAGAAATTATTATTTAAACCAGGCAAAGGGGGAAGACAGGACATCCCTGCTAAGCTCTTAGAGTGCACAGTGTACCACCCTCAGCATATAATTACTGAAATCACCACTGCTGAAATGTTTGCAGATAGATAGCATTTCTCTTAAACTTTCACCTCCTTGAAAACAGTCGTATTCAAAGCAGGGATGAAGGAGAATGATTTGCCTTAGGGATCCCCTTGTCGACTCATGTGATTGCTGTTGAAAATGGTCTGGATCTAAAAGACCACAAAGGTGTTTGATGTTCTTCATATATCCTTCAGCAAAAGAACTGGGAGAACAGTCACTGCTTTTGCGCGTCTGCATTTTCAATAACACACATGAAACAAGCTATGCCCTGCCAGTTTGGAACAAGCTCTGTCCTGCCTTCATGTACCCATGCTGTGTCTCTTCTATTGGTGTGTGTGAAGAGGATGGGCAGGAAGGGGGGAAACGACATTCATAAGGGGAGAGATAGATAGGACTAGGACTAGAGAATGAAGATAAGAGCAAGATAAACAGAGAGGAGGAAATCAACTGGTGAGTGGAAGTAAGACACACATATTCCCAAAAAAGAGGAAAACAGGATGAGTTTAGGAATGAACATGCAATGGAGACAGAAAAGCTCAGAAGACAAAGGTGAAGATGAAACTATGAACATAGAAATCAAGAATGCAAGCATGAAGAGAGAGATAAGAAAGGAAGAAAAATAATGCAAAATGCAAGGAAAATTGAGAAAGAATAAATTAACCATCCTGACACATGAGAAATATGGGATAAATCAGACTCGTAAGGTGGCAGACAACAAAACAAAGAGGAAACCTGGAAGACCCCCACAAAAGCTGCATTTAATACTGTTCATGGGACAGACCTTCCAACAATTATTTGCTATGCTGCTGCCCTGTGGTCATTGTGATATGGATGACATCTGGCTTCGGAGAAGATCTGTGAGCAGCAAGTACAAGCAATGGGGAGTGATGGCCACAACTCTGATTGCCAACCCAGCGTCTCCTGAGTGGAAGAACCACCCCATGGAAAATTCAGTGGTAAAGCAGAGACCTGAACTTTGATTTACTGTCTCCTTTATATCAAGACAGTCTTTTACCTTTCCATCTATGCCACATTTGATGGACGAATCCCTTTCCACCAAAAACACTCACCTCCAGTTTGGACACTTAGCCCAATTAAAATCTAGGAATAATGGGACAAGAGCACAGGGAACAATTCATAGAATCATAGAATGGCCTAGGCTGGAAGGGACCCTAGAGATCATTTTAATCCAGCCTCCCTGTCGCCAGGGATGTCCCCTCTCGACTAGGTCAGGCAACACATGGGGACCAAACGGGAATCGAACCCGCGGCCTTAGCGTTGTTAGCGCTACGCTCTACTGACTGAGCTAACCGACAATTCAGTGTTCTGCCACCCATAATTTTCCAGCACAGAGTACAGCCTCCTTTCCATACTCTCAATAAATGACTACAAATTGATTTGCTGCCTTCTTGCAAGGTTAGGACTACCAGCCAGTCTGGGAACATACACCCAAGTTGTGAAATTAATTAGGCCCAACTAGTGCAACTCAAACTAGGGAGAAAATCAGTATAAAATTTTTAGAAAGATTTCCCATTCACACAAGCAGCAGAAAAAGAGAGATGGCATCACTGGGAAACTGTGGCAATTCATGGAACATTATCACATCACAGTGCTTACCGTGGGTGACTTTGCTACATCCATGGAAGCTCTTAAACACCACTCTGAATCACACAGTGTCTCCGAGGCCCCATGGTGCAGGCAATGCTTGTGTGTGGTACCCAGCAACAGTGCTGCAGGGCTGCTAAACCACCCACTCACACTGCGGGCACACACTTCCACACACAAGTGTTCTCAATGTCGTTAGAAGCACAATTTATGCGATAACTATTCTCACAAGTGGGAGTTTACCAGTAGTTAGGCTAAAAAACCCAACCCAGGAGTAGCTTCTTCCACCTAAGACAAGGTTTGGAGCTGAATCCACAGGCCGCTCTGTGTCCTACTGGTGTGCCCATATGCTTGGAGAGCTGGCATCTCTGCTGCCCTCAAGCGATTCAGAGCATCCATGTGGGAAAGAGCAAACAAAATCAGCCAGAATCTGTTGTCCTTTGTGGCTCTTCTTACACCAATAAAGTTGAAATGTAAAGGGCAGGGTTTGGTGCAAAAGCTACAGGTATATCTCATAAGTATTATTTTTCACATCACATTGTACATGTTCATGCTCAGCCATAGCTTTTCTAACTAAAACATTTCTCATTCATTTAAAATACAAGTTAATTATGATGAATCACTAGTAAGGATGATTCTAAATTAAAGAGGAACAGTACAAGGTTTTGCTATAATCAGGAAAACTACTGTTATCTAGAGAAACAGAATAGTCACATTTAATTTCATGTTCTGCTCTTTAGCCCCAAGAAATACTAATTATATTTCCCTTAGCCCCCTTGCATGGTGCCACCCAGTACAGGCCCATGAGAAACAGTGAATACATACATCAAGTGAAGAGTAAGTAATTTCCTGTGGTTGCTATACAAGCAAGAGATTAAACTGTGACTACCCTGCAGAGTTTAAACAATATGCTTGTAATAAAACCGATGCCGGAGTATGTAATCAGTAGTCACACAGAAAGTTTGCCATGCTTGATGCAGCATTCATATGTAAAATGTCGGCAGTGGAAACAGCCCAGCGCTCTAATTTCAGTCTTTCTTCCAAAATGAAACCTCAGGCCAGGTGCATCTGCACATGCGCTGAAGTCCTTGTCAAAGGACAGAGACAGAACTCAGACTGGCTCTGTGCAAACAGAAATGCTCTGGAGCCCATCGGAAGACGGGTTCTGTTTGAGCCTGTTAGTAAGGGCGTAATTGCCACATGTGACTGCGTGGGAAATTTTGCAATGCACCCCAGTTATTCTGCCCGTTCCTCAATTAACTAAACAACTCTACACGGCTCCTGTATGACACCAGAGACATTTACTGGGCATCATTTGATGTCTTCTTACTGTTAGAAATATCCCATAGACATTCAACCACAGCTTTTTTAAATGAAAGTAATCAGAGAGAATATGGCCAGGCATTTTAACCCATCCTACTGGGTTAAAAGCCCAGGACTCGGTAAGCTCTTGGGGAAGCACAGGTAAGCTCTTGAGGAAGCACAGGGGGTGACACAGACAAAATACTGGGCCCCAGCGCTTGTAGTGAATCATTGGGCTGATGTGCAAGAGGGCAGGAACCACAGGAGCGGGAGGGATGACACAGCCCCAGGGCCAGGAGGTAGGTGGGTGAAGCTGGAGAAGGGCTGTGAGGGAGGCACAGGCAGGGAACTGGGATGTCAGGAGTGATGCAGGATAAGGTGGAGGCCAGAGGCAGGGGGAAGGGAAGACGGCGTGCCAGAAGCAGTGGGCAGAGCTGCCAGGGAGGAAAGAGCAGGCAGCGTGTGGGCTGGGCGAAGCTGCGAGGCAGCCAGGCAGGGGGTCAGCAGCCCCGCACGCAGCAGGCAGGGAGCTCACAGTGAGTCACAGCCTGCGCCCATCTGAGGGCAGGATCAAGGCCTCTAAGTACACACACATTCCCTTGAGGACAAAGTCTCTTAGCATTTGCCCAAGCCATTTCAAAACACCCCAGTTACTGGAAGTCTGCCTGATTAGGCAGTGAGGAGCCCAGGCTCTGCACCACAGCCATCACCACAGTGTAAGCATGAGAAAGGAAGCAAGGCTCTCAAGGTTCATAATAAAAGACAGTTTACAAGCGTACGAATTATGTGTATCTTTGACTGAAGGCTGCAAGCTTTGTTCAGGCCTGAAAGATATTAAGTAACCGCTTGAGAATCACCATTAATTAAAAAAAAAAAGGTAACAACTCCCCCCCATTCAGCACTCAGTAACAATTCTCTCGGAGTTTAATCTGCACACCCTTACTGCAGATCGGTGAATGCCAAAAAACAGATCGGTACCTGCTTTGTAAGTCATTCAGGTGCAATTTGCCTACATAATGGGTGGCTGATGAGACAGTGATGATCCTAGCGTTGTGACTGTGCGTTCCTGATTGCTTCAGCGTATCCAAGAGGAGGTTAGTCAACAGGAAGTGTCCCAAGTAGTTCAAGCCGAAGTGCTCCTCAAACCCATCCTCTGTCTTCTTTTCAGGGACCAGCATCACCCCAGCTGGAGGAGAAAGTAGAAGTAAAACCTGTTGATTTATTTCAAAGAAGCAGCAAGGTAAAAGGAGCATGGATCTCCAGCTGCAGAGTGTAAACATGGAATTTAGAGCAATGAGTGACCGGTGATGGCATGTAAAGTGTAAAGCTGACATTGATTGATTCCTGCTGAGAAAAATGTCAAACTTTCCCATTTTAGTTCCTTTATCCAGAAAACAGGTAGCCTGACTCTATCCCTTCCTCTCTCCTTGCAGGATTGTGGGGATAAATGAGTTCGCTTGTGAAAACTGTTTTGAAGATATGAAAAGTTGAGTTAACCCATTGCCAGTGTGCCATAATGCAATGCTGCAGATCCACAACAATAATTAATCCAGCTGTGATAACTGGGAGCTGAGTGATCCCAATAACATTCCCTCCATCAAAGAGCTCATAGAAGTAGAGACAAGACCAGGCTGAGCAGCAGACCTGCCCTCCGAGACAGCCTTCTGCTCAGTCCTGGCTGGAGTTTAAAGTTCTGTTGAATCTTCATCTGAAATCTGCAACTTCTATCTCACTGGTGTGGGTGAGAAAAGATGTAGTAAATTTACCCAATATATTTTAATTACTGTGCTTACAAGCAGCTGCATATTGAAATGAGGTTTTTAATCCTTATTTTGGCAATATCTTTGCATATATTTCTACAAAACATGATTTTCAAACTCAGTGCCTAAAATAAGTATCCACATCCCTAACATGCAAAGTTGATTCCAGCACCTTGCAGAGAATCCTGAGCTCATGCATAAATTCTATCATGTACTGAGGCTGTGCTGGGGATAGCTATATCCCATTCAATTATAATGTAGACTTGACTGTTATAAATTGTTCTTATTTGATTAAAATTTAATTATTGTACAAGTGGACCTGACCTTTGTAATTTAAATGTAGATGGACGTGGCTCACAGAGAATAATGCTGTAGGCCATTTGTCTTCCTTCTAAAACACATGAATATGATACACCAGCAAGGCCACCTTTGCTCACAGACACAAGAGAGTGTCAGCTTAATCCTTGTGCTACTTCATGTGTCCATTAAACACTCTTTAACATTACATTTCTTGATGCCAGACCAACGATGGCATATCAAATTATTTTAAATTGCACATGCTGTGCATCTGTATGACTCCTTTGCAGGGGGTCTCACACCTCCAACAGTCCTGCTTTGTTACAGCTGCTTGGGCTGAAGAGGAGACATTTTCAGGATCTTTTTGTCACGGCCAACACCCACAGTGACTCATCTATGGGCTGCCTACTGCTTAACTGGCCTGCATGATGAACAAATAGCTGGCCCTGTATGAGAACACAGCCTCTGTATAAAACATGGGTAGTCTGTAGCACTGGAGATTAGTCATTTCAATGTTAGTCTGTACTGGCTGTAGAAACTGTGACTTCATACAGGTAGGGGAGAAAAACCATGAGGATGTAAACAAAGAATGTAAACCACAGCAGATGATGGAAAGTGAAGATGAGGAAGGGAGAGGAAGACAACTGGAGATGCAGCATAAGGGAATGAGAGAAGAAGACAGAGCAAACAAAAGGTTTCGATGTAATGCAGCGTACCTGCATACAGAGACTGAACAGCCAGCGATGCTGCCTGATAGAACGATGAAAGAAACCCAACACAAATATGTAACGGGGCTCTACAAAAGCTCTGATTGGCATTTGTCTCCATCATTACAGCCACTTTCCCAGATCCCTCAGAACGAAGGGAATGTGGTTTCTCTGCATGTCAACTCTCAACTATAACAATGGAAAGGCACAAATTAGAGGTTGTCTGGTCAAGTGCCCCATTGTATTCAGCTTCCTTGGCAGTGCTTACTCTGATGTGTGGTGCAACTGCTCACAGAGTTGGAAACAGATTTCCATTTCCTCTGTAATCTGCATAAGCAGCACCTAATGACATCCAGAATAGCGTCAGGAACTGAGAACTGGCATGAAGATTATGGAGAGACAAACTTGAGGCAAGCCCTCCTGTGACCTTTTCCTTCTTAGTGGTGAACCTGGTATTGTTAGGTTAACTGTTGGACTCGATGATCCTAGAGGTCTTTTATGACTTAAATGATTCTACGATTCTGTGATTCTTGTTTTTGGGGAAGAAGGAAAGGGCAGGAAGGGCAAGAAACCCCCATCTCCCAAACCAAGTCTCAGCTTGCTACAGTGCAAGTTTTAGCAGAGACAGAGCTTAGCACAAGCTGTTGGAGGGCACTGCTGCATCTCTGAGCACTGGGGCTGGCACAAGGAAAGGATCTGCATCTCTCCAAGGCCCATCCCATCCTCCAAAGCTCTAACACTCAGAAAAGGTGGGAGGAAGCAGTTTGCCAGAGGTCTATTTGCAGCAACATTGGTAAAATGCAAGCCTGAGAAAAGGCAGACAGCATAAAACAGCCCTGGCACAGAACAGCTGATGTGAATCCCAAATGCTGCTTTTGCATCTGCTGGGCCTCCTGCAGGTCGCTATAGGACGTCTTCATGCACCCACACACTTCTGCTGGGTGAGTCAAACAGGGGGATGCGGGAATTTGTCCAGAGAGAAGCAGAGTAGGCAGCTGCTACAGCCCTTGCTTTGCATCATGACCAGCAGGCAAACCCAGGGAGGCTGTCACTGCTCACACCAGCCCTAAGCATGCCTGTGCTACAGCATGATTCCCTTGACCTCTGGAGAAGCACAGGATTTCAAGAGCATATAGAGGCCTTGCCCTCCACCCTAGTTAGTCTCCACCATCTGCGCTGAGCCTCCTGGAAGCAAAAACCAAATCTGAGTTCAGGCCAGGAGACAGAAGAAATTTTCATTCATGCAATGCATGACTGTTAAGATACATGTTCCTGAAAATTATTTTGTTATACTTCAGGAGCTTCCTCTGTGCAGAAATTGTGGTCAAGTACTTGAGAAGGCACAATCACCTCTACTTATACTTGTTGCCACTACAATTCCCTTTTTGTCTTCAAGAGCCGGTCAAATAATATTAAACTAAACATCTTTGAAGTAATTCTTTTTAGAAGCTCTCATCTTTGAGGTGGTTCATATCAAGGCTATGAAAAAATCTTCCCCACAATTTAAGGGCAGCTTCTCTTATTTGAGGAGCAGCCATTTTAATTTGCTGAGATCAAGTGTACAAAGGGATATCCAACAGGCAACTGAATCTGGCTGCTTCTCCGACAAAAGAAAAAACCTCCTCAGTGTAGCAGCAAGCTCTCTTTTAAAAATTATTATCCACCTAACTTTCAGTAGATACTAAAAGTGGCATTCTATTGATTTTCTTTTGTCCAGAAACATCATCAGCTTTACTCAAGGGCCCCAAATGGTAACTCAAAGAATGAAAGCTGCTTCTGTTTTTAATTCTTTCAATTAATCCAATACTATTTGAAACATTAAAAAATATTTGTTTTACTTTATCTCTTCATTGTAAACCAAGAATGATTTTGCTTATTCTTCTAGTATGGAATCCATAAACCCCAGCATCTTTTTGATTTTAATTATCAATAGTCAGTCTTCTCAGTTTTTTTGAAATGCACATGAAATTTGAAGTGGCAGCATACAGACCACTAATGTCAAACACCTTAGTTCTGATACAACTCTCTTGTGTGTTTTTCCCTTTGATTTAGCTGGATTGTTTTCAGAACGTTTATTTTTTAAAATGTTAGCATGGCATTAGAAAATGAATTAATAAGTAAGCTGAACATGAGCTTTTGCTTTGTAATTTATTAGCTGGTATTGAAATATTCAGGCAACGACTGGCAGTATGCATGCAGAAAACTGCCTAAATGACACATCGATATGTGATTTTGCAAGAGTAGAAATAAATTAGAATAAGGAAAATATTTTGTTGCATAACTATGCTGAAAAACTGTTCTTCAGGAGAACTGTATTTGTAAACAGACATTTGTCATGATTTTCTATAAAACTTTCTAATGAGACTCTTGGTTTGTGATCCATCAATGATTTAGTCTTATGTGACTTTAAGAGCATAATGGATCTGATACTGCACACAGCATAACCAAAAAGTTTATGAAGTTGTAAATATTACAAGCCAGGCATACCATATTTTTATTGGATTATATAGAAGATATTATATCATGCCTGCCTGTACTGCAGATAATGGTAAACACTGCTGTAATTCCTGTATATCCTACTGCAAAGACATCCTTCAGCTCCATTACAAAATATGTTTTAAGAGCTTTAAAAGTAGAAGTATTTCACTCATCTAGAATTATTTACAGTGAACCACTTGGAGGTTTTTTAAAGGTAGTTCTCTCAAACTCACTTCAAAAGAAAGGTTTAAAATCTCTTTTTCACATGCAGAATAAAATTTCTTCCTTCCCAGCTAGGTTCACATAAGCCGATTTAGAGGCAGTGCCCCCCTGTGCAAGTCTTTTTATTGCCAGCAACCTGAAGGCTGGGAAGACAGTGCAAGAGGTCAGCTCCATACACTCAGCATGTAACACTTTCACAGCACGAGATGAACCTATTTAATTACATTCACCCAATTCTTGCTGCTTAGACAGGATACGTACTGTACCCAAAAAAATTCCAAAAGGGAAAGATTAACAGAGACAGCACTCCAAGTAAAAGCACAAAGCCTTTACTCCACATAAGCTTTGTACTGGTGTAGCTGAGTCATTTAGCAGCACTTTCCACCCGACGAGCGCAGCCACATGAGGTGATCCACCTCACTCAACAGAGTGTCAGCACTGCTCTGCTCTGCACACCCACACACCAAAAGATTGATGGGGAGGATCTATCCACATACAAAACAGCACAACTCACTTCTCTGCTGCATAGGAACAGCTGAGTGGAGTGAACCTCTCAATAACCATAGAGCAGCATCCCCTGGCTAGGCTGCCTACACTAGATCATCGTTCCACCTCATTCAGTTGGGCTATGCTATCCCAGAATTTGCCTGTCCTATGGATCTCTCCTGGCTAGTGAGCAGTGAGAAGGTGCAATGCCTTATTAGAAGAATTGCCCCCCAAAA